AAAAGTTTATGTTAAGACTAATGTTTAAGACTGTTTTGTTTATGAAAACGCGGACCCTGAACACTAACGTTGTTTGGCTAGCACCCGTGAACGGAAGCAGGCAGACTCTCTCCTCTCTCCTCTCTCTCCTCCTCTCCTCGTCTCCCAGACTGACGGGGTGCACCTTTCAATAACCATCGTTGGGACTCGATTACCAAGCGTCAGCTTCCTCTCTCTCTAATCGAAGTGGGATGTGCATTCACTACCACGCATCAACTACTCCTCTCACCGGTTGAGCACCATAACAATAATTCCAAGAGGCGTGTCTATACGCTCCCGGACTCGCGCCGAGCCAAGGACCCCCGGGACCAGATGGTCTCTATTAGAAGTAGTGTTCGATTATTAATTTGATTATAGTTCGTGCAGAAACTCTTCTCCCCTCCCAATCTCCATTCGTCCTCCGGAAGAGAATCACGGAGTTTAACGGCCTCCGGTCATTGGATCAATCCGAACGCTGTATAGAACGCCAAACGGCCATTGCTTGGCACCTGCCTCAATGCCTACAAACCTCATACGAAGTATTCATTCTACTAAACCTACAATGGTTTCGAAAAATAATTGTTCTAATAAGTTCTGAATACTGCCTTGGGTTCTATTCTATCAAATTTAATCAAATCTAGTTGATATACTATATACTAATTACTACTCATTTATACGAGAAGGAGTCAATTAATCACTTCGTACCAATAATGCTACATGTCACGGGTAATAGGACAAACAGCATGCGAATATAGTAGCCCAATATAGGGCAAACTACTTGATATAATATAGGATGTACCACATGACGTATAATACATCTGGCTACAATAAGCCTCTCGGTAAAACAGTAGAACTAAGCCGCCGCCCTGCATGCCGTAATCAGTAACTCGTACAACTATTCGATGAATAATAGTATGCCATATACCCGCGGACATAAATTATATCATTAAATAATATTTACTACATTTTAATATAGGACGTAAAACTATACGCATACCAATATAGCCCTGTATAAACAGTATCAGTACTTCGGCCTAGCGTTCGTAACTCCCTCTGCTGCCGGGTCGTCTACGGTGTGAGCGTAGCCTTGCGTGACACATCCGTAATACATACTCTCACAGAGGAAGAACTTCCAGGCGGTGCGCATTCGGCTGCCTGGGAAAACCCGTGAAAGACTTTCATGTACCGGCCCTGAAAGCATGAAACTGAAGTATCGTTAAATATCCTATTATACACATAGACACAACCAACCAGGACATACTCTGGCGCATAACCCATTATTTTATTATTATTACTATATTTATCTTATTATCATCAGATCCATCATCATAATCATCCATCCTATCTGTCCCTCGCGTCAGCCAAGGGCTCGTCAGACACAGCTGCATCAAAGTCCTGGGCGCCTAGGTACAATACTCTCACCAAGGTGCCTGGGGCGCCAAGCGCGTCGATTTCTGTTGTTGGCAGCTCGACCGTTGAACAGCATTTGTCCAGTCGCAATCCCGCGCGAATGGGTATCGAGCGGGTAGATCTAATTCCTCCCGAGGAGAGAGAGAGAGGCGAGAGCTCCCCCGCGAGGCGTAGAGCGCGCTCGAGGAAGAGCGCGAGAGAGTAGTAGTAGTAAGTGTAGAGTAGATTCATCAGTATGGTGGTGGCTGTGTGTTGTTGGTTGGCTGTGGGTCTTGTGACGGTGGTGGTTGTGGTGGTGCGTGGCGAGTAGGCGCGCGGCGCGGAGCGGTAGTATAAGCAGTAGCAGCAGAAGTACGAGGCAGCAGTAGTATCAGTTGGCAGTTCGCAGTAACAGTCTACCCCTCAGTAGCAGCCTCTCGAGCAGTAGAAGTAGTAGGAAGCGACTCGGCAGTAGACAGTCCAGGAGTAGCATCAGACACTGCTAGCAGTAGCCGTAGCACTATCATACAGATGCCAGAGCACAGCAAGCACGTACAGTCAAGCAGTACGCAGTAGCAGGTACATAGCAGCTGCAGTAGCAGACAATCCAGAGCAGTAGCAGTCTAGGCAGTAGCCCGTATCAAGACAGTAGCAGCTAGCGCAGTAGCTCATAGCAGTAGCAGTAGCGCCAGTGCAGTAGCAGAGCAACAGTCACAGAGGCAGTAGCAGGAGCAGTCAGCAGCTTCGCAGAGCAGTGCAGCTGCAGGTCGCAGTTAGCATACATACGCATAGCAGTACTCGCACATCCTCCTCGGCACAGCAGAGCACTTCAGCCGCGCATCCTCCCCTACGTAACGAGATAAAAATCGCGCAGCGCAGGTGTAAGCACCGACTAGCAGTAGAGCAGCAGAGTACCCATAAGCATAACAGTCAGATACTCCTTCCCTCTTCATCTTCTCCACACTCTCCCGTCTAATTTAGGTCATCTGATCTTTGATGATTTGCAATACGGTCAAGCTCTGAATGGATCCAACCTATCTCGCGCCGTAGCGAAGCATACGTCTTGCTCCGCTACAGAGGCCGGAGCGCCCTGCGCGCCGCCGTAAGGATAAATTGAAGCTACTGTATCGATTTCCTCTCGTCTCCAGGAGTTTTGCAGGACCTGTAGTTAAAAATGACGAACCGCCTCGTTCGTACATGCGCCACCGACTGTTGTACATGTAATTCATTCGTTTGCCTCTTAGCCCCCTTGATTCAGGTATTGCACGGCGGAACGGGTTTGATTTTGTTTTGGATGAACATTCTACCGTGGGATGGCTTCATCCTATCGCGTAATCTCCGTCGTCAAATATAATCTTCTCCCGCGTTTCTTCCGTTAAGAAATGGAGCTCTCTCCGCATCGCGTTTTCGCAATGCTTGGAGGCAAGAACACCTCCGCTGCGTGACGGCGCGACGTGACGTGGTTACACACTCAACTCGGCCCCCTTCGAGATGTGTGATCAACATAAAATCTCAACGCGCACCCCTTATTAATTATCGCACTATACCCATTATATACCAACACGATAGAGACCTCCGCTCTCTCCTACCCTCTCTCCTCTCTCTCTTCTCTCTCTCTCTCTCTTCTGCTCTCTCTTCTCTCTCTCTATCTCTCTCTCTCTCTCTATCTCTCTCTCTTTCTCTTGCTCTCTCTTCTCTTCGCTCATCATTCTCTATCTTTCTCTCTTCGCTCTCCTCTCTCTTTCTCTCTGCTCTCACACACACACACACACATCACACACACACCACACACACACACACACACACAACACACACACACCACACACACACTTACGTACACACCCACACACACACACACACACACACCACACACACACACGCGCACACACACAAGCATGTAATATAATGTAATGCTGTGTCATGTAATGTAATGTATTGTAATGAAATGCAATGCAATGTAATGTAATGTAATGCTGTGTCATGTCATGTAATGTAATGTAACGCTGTGTTATGTCATGTAATGTAATGTAATGCTGTGTCATTTCATGTACTGTAATGTAATGCTGTGGCATGTAATGTAATGTAATGCTCTGTCATGTAATGTAATGTAATGTAATGCCGTGTCATGTCACATCATGTAATGTAATCAGGAGTAGATAATAGAAGATCTTCTATTATCTACTCCTGATGTAATGTTAAGTAATATAATGTAATGCAATGTAATTTTATTTAACTTTTAAAAATTTTAGTGAATGTAATCTGTAATGGTTTGTTTCGTCGAGCGTACGCAATATGGTGACATGTATATGCGTATATATATAATGGGTGTGCGTGTGCATGGCAATAGTAAGACACATCTTACGAGTAAGAAGAATAGTGATGCATGCTCTTGTTTAATGTAGTGTTTTGTAATATTAATAATTATCTGCCCCACAGTGGTATTTTTCCGTACACTCACAAGTCCGTACACTCACATTTTCACGTTATATATATGATACAGTTAATTACGATCTCACTGGAACAAGAGTGAATAAAAACATTTGTCTTTATTCACTCCTGATTGGATGAATACTTTCCGGTACTTGTAGCCCTGATGCGATAAAGCGCCGACGTACGAGACACTTTAGATAGGTCGCGTCTATGTTGCACCATACCTGTGTATATGCCATCAGTAATGCCACACCTGTGTATATGCCATCAGTAATGCCACACCTGTGTGTATGCCATCAGTGATGCTACACCTGTGTATATGCCATCAGTAATGCCACACCTGTGTATCACCGGGTGCTAGCCAACAACGTTAGTGTTCAGGGTCCCGTTTTCATAAACAAAAACAGTCTTAACATTAGTCTTAACATAAACTTTTTCATTTCTCGTAGACCGAACCTCTACTGATCGTATATGAGAAGCTCGTGACTTTATCATGTTTCTGTCAACCATCAACGGTCTATGACAAAAAGGTTAATATTAATCCTAATGTTAAGACTAATATTGTCTCTGACAACGGAGCCCAGTTCGTAACAAGTAACCCACTGTCGTAGTCTATCGGATCAAATGTAGATCACGATTAGACTGCGGATTTCCTTTAACGCGAATTCTAAGTAATAGATAATTTATATGCTTGAAAACGGTCGTGCGGTTTTGTTCACGTAAATCCTATGCGGATGTTTTTACGTTAGTAAGCGGAATATGTGCTGTTGGAATCTGTTCGTACGTGATTCGGGGTTGTTTTGCTGCTAGATTTAACGTAATGCCCTTCATTGTCTTGATTTACCGAGATGTTCACTACAGCTTTCGTTACACAATGATAACACACTTGGAACGGTTCCAAGACAAGCGTCAGCTAACGTATGACTCAGCGTCTCGCGAGTGTGTGCATTAATGTGTGTGCATATTTCGAGTTGTTAGTCTAAAATATGTATGATTGTGTCCCGAGCTAGTCATTGTAATATTAATGATTTCTGTTGATTGATGTCAATCATCTTTAAAATCTCATTTACGTGATGTATATGATGAACAAATGCGAGCAGTTTTGCGGTGTTTTAAATATAGTGTGATTGTATGTTAACGATAATTCATGATCAAGCGAAAAAAACGAATACGAAAAAAAAATCGTTCACCGATTATATACTTATTATTATTCTTATTAATGTACGATATTAATAATAATGGTGAATTTCGCTACCTTTATTACGCAAATGAATTTGACAATTAAAAATTTCAATTAAGAGATGACATCATGAATATTAATATATATAGTGCCTTTGTTTTCACAGAATTATTGCAATAAAGGATGTGTTGTAGGCTCCTAACACATTTTATATTGCTCTACTCTGTCCCGACGGTCGTTTTCGCTGGATTCAACCATCTGGATATATACATATATATATATATATATATATACAAAACGGTCGTGCGGTTATATCAAGAGTAGATAATAGAGATGTATACATAATAGAGAGGTCTATATTATGTACTCTTGATATATATATACGTGTGTGAGTGCGTGCGTCCGTGCGTGCGTGCGTATGTGTATGTGTATATAACCTTCAAATAAATACAGTTACAAAGACTTTCAACTAACCGCACCAGTAATATGCGTAGTTGTGTTCCCGCACCCAGCAAAGGCGTTTCTAAACACCGCCCTTACAATCAGGAAATACCGGTAAAGATGTGTTAGCATAGCAATTCTATGCACAAATGCGGCGTCCAGACATGCGCCCTACATTTAAAAGCAAATAGCATCAGAGTCTAAATTAAGAATTTAAAATTCAATTGAGTTGACGTGAATTGAATGAAAGCGGGCACTGAAATGAGCTTCTACAAGTATAGAACACGTACATCAAAGTAGCTTTGCCCACATGACATCTAAATACGTAAAGTAGAAAAAAAGTGCAAGACCCATAATTCCATTCATAGTTGCACAGGGGTTCTATCCGCCCATCGAAATGTATAGATAGGCTAGAATGCGGGCACTGAAACAAGCTTCTCCAAGTAAAGAACACGTACATCAAAGTAGCTTTGCCCACATGGCATCTGAATATGTATTTAGTAGAAAAAAGTGCGAGACCCGTAGTTCCATATATGTGTAGAAGTGTATAAAGAGATTAACTGGTATGTTATATCTACGTACTCGCCAGTATACTTTTAACAATACGTCGTAAACTTCATACGTCATTATGGCACGTATGACTTGCTGCCGTGTTTGATTCCACAGGAGATTTGCTACCGAGAATTCTTCTGATTCTTATTCTGTTTTCCTTTCTGCGAATAAGAGGTCAGTAATCTTATAACAGTCCTGGATCGCACTTCTCACAAATACTGCCGCGCCCATTCACATTTGGTCTAATAACATCCGATTCCTACCAATCATAGCATGCATGTACTTCGACAACGAGCAATGCTGATTAAATCACCGTTTTTCTCCCGTGTGAAGACTAAGCAGAATTTATTTTAACCGGTAGGTGGCGCAGCAATTCAAGTTAAATAATTATGAACTGGTTCATCACTTTGTGTAGACGAGGAATCTAAATGCGTGTACAGCGATTCGGTATGTAAAAGTAACACAAACACACCAGCGCGTGTATTATATTATGTGATAAACTCTCGATAATATAGCATTTATTTAATAAACAACAGTTTGCATTACGCAATATGAGTGAGAAAAGCAAGTCTGTAACACGAATCTAGGCAGCTTATATGTTTTCGAGATTCTATACAACACTGACGATGTGATATCCATTTTTTTATAAACAGTACATGATATTACAACAATTAAAGCAGAAAACAAAGTTAGCGATAGTTTATAGATAACGTGTGTAATCATCAGGGGAAAAACAATAAACTGTAAGAGTTAAAACACGCAAAATCATCCACATTACTTTATAGATTTATCTCTAATGAAAGCTATTATATGGATATTTTTCGACAGCACCGATCTTTCACTACTACATTATTAAGCTAGGTACCAAGACTATTGCGTTTATACAAAAATATATTTGTCTTGGCAAACAGCTATAATATATACTTATATACTCACTCGTTACACATCCAAATGCATAAACATTCGTACGCGAGTTCCATTCGCTAACGAACTCACTAAACGATTCAATATTATGTACATTGGCACTCGGAGTCAGGTTAATTGTATTTAAAAAACAAACGGGGTTTCACTTCACACATATTTTCTTAGAGTGACTAATCGTATCTCAAACATTGTTCCCATTGACGGTCTTGACTATATTATGGGCACCGCGGACATTCAACCACCTGCTGCCATCTAGCGTGCAAGCGCGAGTACAAATTGATATGCGAACGCCGCTATCCCTACCTTGCATTGTAATAGATCTTGCTAATATAAACGCATAATAGATCTGTAAGAATACAAACGTTATACAAATTGCAGATAGGGTTGGTCCTCTAACTGATCGGGTTTAAAAGTACTGGACATCGCATTCTGTCAATACAACGCCCAACAAGTAATAATATCTTCATTTAACATGTTTTTACGAGATCTATGGACCTGATAAAGCTCCGTGGAAGCTACATCTGTTATGCTAATCTGTAATCTGAAATGAAATGCAATGTAATGTAATGTAATGCTGTGTCATGTCATGGCATGTAATATAATGTAATGCTGTGTCATGTAATGTAATGTATTGTAATGAAATGCATATATTATATATATATTATATATCATATATATATAATTATATATATATATATAATATATATATATATATAACCGTTATATTATTCAGACCAGTGCTTTTGACGCCCATCTGTGTACAAAAAAATAAATGGGAACATGCGTCTACAATTTAGGAAACAGAGATATGAAATCTCTCTCACAACA